TTGGGACTAAGAGGGACCAGACATCAATCCATGCTCTCCAAATCTTTCTGAACAAGTCTCTCATATTTCAAACTTGTAAGTAACAGCCAGGCAAGGCATGTTAATTTTATCTTTGTTTTCTCAAATTTTAAATGTTCCTTTTGCTAGAGTGTTTACCTCTGTTTGCTGTAACTTTGAACCTAAGGCTAGAGAGTGTTCCTCTGGGCTCTTTGAATCTGATTACCCTGTAAAATTATTTTCCATCCTGATTTTACAGAGATGATTTTTACCTTTCTTTCTTTAATTAAAAGCTTTCTTTTTAAGAACCTGATTGATTTTTCCTTGTTTTACGATCCAAGGGTTTTGATCGGTGTTCACCAGGAAATTGGTGGAGAAGTCTCTCAAGGCTACCCAGGGAAGGGTTATAGTACTTGGGAGGGAGATATTCTGAAGGGGAGGTAGACAGAGTTTCCCAAATAACTCATAAATAATTTGGGTGGTGGCAGAAAAACCAGATCTAAGCTGGTAGTTAAGCTTAGAGGTTCTCATGCAGGTCCCCACATCTGTACCCTAGAGTTCAGAGTGGGGAAGGACCCTTGACAGCCCCCATTCTTAAATCAAGCCTGGGAACAGGCAGCAACCCCACACCAAGAAAGGGACAATACCCCTCAACCTTCCCAAGGACCACAGTTTGTGATCTGGGGAGACCACCTTTACCAAGTGGTGCAGGAACCCCAAACAGGAAATTATCCGACAGCTCTTGGATTACACCGGAATCTCTTGCAGCTGACTCACGCAGTACCCTGGATGGGACACCTGGGTAGAGAGAAGATACTCCAGAGGATAGCACATTGGGGGGTTTTTTGGCCTGGCATACACCAGGAAATAAGAGATTATTGTGTCCCGAATGCCAGCGGACCAGACAGGGAACCGATTCATCCTTGTACTTATTGATTATATGACACAGAACCCCAAGGCCATCCCCATGCACACGCCTATGGCCCCTAACATTGTGACACAGTCAGTGAAGGTTTTTGCTCAGGTCAGGATACCCACGAAAATCCTAACCGATCAGGACACCAATGTGTCCTCCAAATTGATAGCTGAGTTGTGCCACCTCATGAACATTAGAACCCTCAGGACTTCAGTGTACCACCCACAAACTGATGAGTTAGTCAAATGCTTTGATGGAACCCTCAAGTCAATGCTCCACATGTTCATAGAAGATGATCCCTGACATTGGGACTTGTTGTTGCCCCACTCTACTGTTTGGTGTGTGGGAGGTCCCCCAAGCCTTGACTCCCCTTTGAGCTCCCTTGTGGGAGACAACCTCAGAGCATCCTCAACCTCCTGAGAAACAGCTGGGAGGCACAAGAGACACAGGTCCTGGGAACTACCCACTATGTGTTATGACTCCGTGAGCATCTCCAGGCCTTGGGCACCTTCGCTTGAGTGAATCTGTTACAAGCCCAGCGAACCCAGGAGTAACAACACAACACAGGGACTAAGGTACACAGCTTTGAGCCCAGGGATTGGGTTCTACTATTATTTCCCTCCACTGAGTCGAAGCTATTAGCCAACTGGCCAGGCCCCATTGAGGCGTCTCACCAGGTAGGACCAGTAGATTATGAGATCAGGTTGCCGGGGTGACGGAAGCATGTATGCACATATCACATGAACTTGTTGAAAGCCTGGAAGACAAAGAGGCCTTATTCGTCGCACCTTCACCCCCAGAACTGGAACTGGGTCCCCTTGTGGGAGAATCTCCAGAGCCGAAGCCGGTGGTAATGGGAGAAGGCCTTGGCCCCGCACAACAGGAACCATTACAATGTCTCCTACAGGACAACCTGGACGTCCTGTCAACACTCCCAGGGCAGACCGATCATGACCGTTGGCCTCTCCCCAGGAAGATGTGGAACACCGTCCACCAGGATTTGGAGACGATGCTTGAGCTGGGAGTGGTGGAAGAATCTCAAAGCGAATGGTGAAGCCTGATCATACTGGTCCTGAAACCAGACAGGGCCATGCCTCATAAGTGGGATTAGGGGCCGTCCTATCCCAGGAAATCAATGCAGAAGAACACCCCATTTTATATCTGAACCATAAACTGTTCCCCAGGGAGACTCAGTATTCGATGATCGAGAAGGAGCCCTTGGCAGTGAAGTGGGCTATCAATGCTCTATGCTACTATCTGCTCGGTAGCACCGTCACACTGATTACCGATCCTGCACCCCTCTGATGGTTACACAGCATGAAGGACACCAACCCCAGGATTATGCGTTGGTACCTCTCCCTCCAACCATATGACTTCCACGTGTCATCGACCTCGTAAGGTTCATGCCAACGTGGACTTCTTCTACAGGCTGGGAGGGGAGGAGAGGGAGATGGACGACCCACCGGGGTCCCTCTTAAGGGGTGTCTGTGTGACGGGATGTACATACCACGCACTGGGCAAGAGGAGTTAACCCCACAATATGGTTGGCAGATGTCCTGCCTCTCAGACCGTGCTGGGCATGCTCCAACTGCTGCCGCAGTATAAAAGGGAGCAGCCCAGCTCATTCTAGGTTGACCGACAGAGAGGACCTCATTTTCTGAATGCTCAAATGAGTCTCTGATTCGTAAAAGTGCTGAGCACTCACAGCTGCAACAGAAGTCAATGGGAACTGTGCTTTGAACTTATAAAGTGATATATGATGGTAAATGCTCTGCAAAATCATGTCCTAGGAGTCTCAAATTGCACACCCAAAATTAGTGAATATTTTTGACCTTTATCTCTCTGTATCTCAGTTCCCCACTTGTAAAGCAGGGATAATAACACCCTCACCTCACAGACGTGTTATGAAGACAAATTAATTAATATTTTTGAAGCAGTCAGATACTCTAGTGACTGGAACAAGAGATAATCCTGTGAGGAAATTGATAATTCTGTCTTCAGAGCAGGGTTTCAATATTGTGCTTTAATTAAGGTCTGGGGCCATACATTGAACAATGAGGATAAAACAAAATATTGAATAACAGCTGATTAATTGCGCATCCTGTGCACTGCATGAGGCAGGAAAAACTAGTATGTGAACATATAATTAAAGACTGTATCATAAAACATATGCCCATGAGGGCTGAATTAAGATTGCACAGGCAACGTTACGTCCTAAATTCTGAGTGGTTGACTTTGCAATCTTAACAATGTTCTTTTAATAAGGTTTTTGTGTATGTCATTAATAATAAATATAGCTGATATTTTTTGTATCTATTGTTATCTCTAAATTGCCTATCAAATCTTTAAATCCAAGCTAAATCAAACAATCAACTGTCAACTATTTTAGCACTATATATATGCAAAGGTTTTAACTATTTAATTAATTTAAGTATTTGATAGTAGCAATAAAAGAGGCAGAAAATTATGAGGGTACTCTACCTGATATGATGCCCAATCCTGGAAAAAGTGATGTGTATGAGCATCTTTACTTGTGCAAGTCGTGTCGTTGGTATCAATGACACTGTTAACATAACTTTATGCAAGTGCATACGTGTTTGTGGGATTTGCTCCACATAACTCTTTGCAGGTGAACAAAATCAGTTTGACATAGCAAAATGTGCCTTTTATGATTCAATTAAACTGACATTTGTATAATACCCTTAATAAAATGTATTCCACACTATTTTACAGAATAGAAAAGTCAAACTTAAGAGTTACAGTAATTAAGACCAAACAGCTAAATTGTTAGCTCAGATCTAAATACTGAGCCTGTGTCAAGAGTCATGAATCACCAAAAGAAAGAAGTTCCACCTATAAGGAATGCTGTTGTTAAAAGCTGTCAGCACAAAGTTATTGCATCAATAGATGGGAATTGTGACAGACTAACAATATCCTGTAATATCCTGGACAAACCTTATGGAATTAAGAGAAAATGTATTGAATTAAATTAATACTTACTGAATTAGGTTTAATATCATTGAGGTCAACTGTATTAAAAAATGCAATTTTTGTGTGTGGTGTTATGGAATGGTATGTACCTTCTCTATTAGTAGGCGGATGCTAATGTAACTCCTTCATTAACTACCCTGTGAAGACACCCCCCTGGAAAGGTACACATATACTAGTTCAGACTGGATTCTTCAAGGACCAACATACAAAGAAAGGATTTTTTTGTTAAATAGCCTGGTTTTAAACTGGCTCGGTGCCTTCTTCCTGATCCAGCAAATGGACAGGATCCCTGGTCCACGGTGAGCCCCAATCCTTAGTGGGGGGTTGGAAGGACTTGGCCTATTGAGATCCATAACACTGGATCCTAATTCTGAGTTGAGAATCTTATGAACTTGTGATCACAGAAGAGAATCTTTTTGTGGGGTTTTGAAGGCCTGCTCTTACCAGAGCCCATGTTAGAGTTGGGGTGATGTCTGGTAAGCTTATTAGCATGTGTGTAGGTTCTTTTATTCTTCTTAATCAGTTTTCTGAACAGTGCTTTTACCTTAAAAATAAAATAGGCTTGCATAAAAAGAGCTGTGTGGCATCTATAAACATGGGCTATCACACTATTAACAATCTCTGAAGTGAAAGCAAGCAGGTGTGCTTGGGCAACCTGTCTCTGCTGGAAATAACATAGTGAAAACAGGGAACTGTGTAGCCCGGAAACACCCTAGTCAAAAGGGACCAAGATGTGGGTTTTCTCCACCCAAGAAAGGAAACAGCTGGGATGCTGGAAGCTTGGGATTGGGTGCCCTTAATGGACCACTGAGGGGAAATACAGTTTCGGTTGCCCTGAACAGTGACAGGAATTCCAATAAACTGTCTGAGCATGAGCATGCAGATCAGATCAGAACCCAAGGAAAGACATGAATAAGATTCATACTCACAGAAAATGGAATCATACATTTAGGCCCTCCCATAAAAACACTGCCTTCCTATACCTGTTACAGTGTTTGATTACATGCACTAGGAACTCACATTATTCCATATTGTGTTTATGTTAAGAACACATCACCCATCAGCAAAAATAAATTCTACAATTCGTTCATGCTTATGAGGTATTTATTTAAAATTTCAAACATGAAAATATGTCTTAAAATTACTGTTATGAAAAAGCTAACATTCATTCAAGAAATGCAAAATTATTTCCTTTCTTTTCTTGAAAGGATTTTTACTGTATATACTGTGGATTTATATTTCCTATAAGACAGATATACCATCATACTAAAGTACACCATTTTAGGAATAACTTACGTTATCTTCAGTTTATCATAATATCAAAAGGTATACCAACAATTTCAATGTATGAATGGAATTTGACATCTTACAGGACTTCCAGTTTTGTAGTAAACAAGTTTGCTGTTTCAGTTCCCAGAATCAAAAATATCTGAAGTGTTACAGCAGTCTTAAACCACATATCAACATATGGGAAACCAGAGCTGCAAGACTTGAACAATTTCATACTCAGTGGGCCGAACACATTGGTATATGGTTAGCAGGTTTGCACTTGTGCCATAGACCTAGATAGAATCAGGCTGTCATTCAACAATGAACCATGGATCATATATCTTACAGAAACAATGATGTAAACAAGCAGTGAAGTTGATACTACATTTCAGCAATCATAGTTTCTATAGAAAGCAAAACAAAAGTGGTCAGGGCATAGAGAAGATTGTTGGCAGCACATGGTAGCTATCAGTCAGGTGTTAAACAGTAAGATGAAATGTCAGTTTTTTTGAATGTAGAAGTATACTTGACTCACTGTGCTGAACAGTACATGTCAGAAGGATAAAGATGATGATGCTCTATTACAGAAAAACAATTATTTCAATACTTTATACCCTCACATCATGGTATTGAAAACTGAAATAGTTAAATTGAAATTATCCTGTATTGTAAAACTATTTTAATCAATACATTTTTCTTTTTGAAAAACAGGTTGTTTTCTTTTTTACCAATAAAACTGTTTTCCCTTCTTTAATCTAACCATTTTAAATACTCAAAAATTAATATAGGAGTTTAACAAAATAATATCAATAATAGATGGCTTTGTATGTTACTGAAGTAACAATGAATCTAAAGCATAAAACCAATGCAGTCTGAAAACGTAAGAACACACATAAACCATTAAACACAACTCATGTCAGAAAATACATATCTAATTATCATACCTATCCTCATGGATAAAGCAATTCCATTCAAATTCAGTAGGCTGGAAAGTATTTTTTCTTTGGTCAATATGCAGCATCTCTTAGGATTCTTAAATCAGTGATGCGCCCAACAATAAATGTGTGCATAGAAAATGTATATGAACTATAAATGCTTTTATTATGAAGTGCTGATGGTTTTCCTTATATATACATTGCAAATATTTGTATCTTTAATTCTATGTTAAACATCCAACTCATTCTGAATAATAATCTCCAAAGTACATAAAATTTCAGCACCAGTGATCTCCCCTTTAACAAAGTACTCTAACTCATGCCTTGGATGGTCCACATTTGTTTAAACAAGGTAGCTACTGTGAAATGAACTACACTAATTGATAAAAAATGTTAAAAGCCTTTTTCAAGTAAATTAAATATGTTTTTGGTCCCCAGGTGAAAGCTTTTACATTCTCGAGAGTGGCATCTGTCAAATGAAGTTTGATCTTCAATCATGTGAATCACAGAGAACTTATACAATGTTGTCTTTGCACATAATAAGATATTTAACATATGTGTTATTTGCAATACAGCAAACAGAATACCAGGACTTGCCTTTCTGTTTATAAATAAAACTGAGGAAAAAGTAAATGTAGAGCAAAAGAAATGCAATGAAAGTTACTAATGTAATGAGTAAAGTAGGGGAGACAGACACTGATGCAGTGTTGATGGACCTCAGGGATCTACTCTTCAGTTTCACTTGACTCAAAAAGTCTTGTCCCCTCTACACTGAATGTTAATTACACTCCACTCTTTTAATGACTATACTATTAATTTAACTTTTTACCCTAAGAAGTTAGAAAAATAACTGAATAACGGGGGGGGGGAGGTGCGCGGGATGGGGATCTGAAAAACACATGGCTGAAATCACCTTTCTCACTGTCTTAACTTGTAGTTTCTCAGGTATCTCCTTTGCTCTTTAAGCTGGACAGTTCACCATTTTAAAGGCAGGTTCTCATTGTCCTAAATACTATATTGTCTCTGAACTTGCTTATGCAGTGTAAAGGAAATTGATTTGAGGAGAGAGAAAATGCTGAGCCACCATCTTTTAATATTTAGGTAACAAATTTGAAAAAAAAAAAGTGCCACATCTTCAGGTAATCTTTTTCTATCAAATTTTAGGTTTTTGATGCTTTTAGTAAGTCTTTTCCATTTAAAACATCCATAGTGACATTTTTAGTAAACTTTTTTTTTCAAGTTACCATTTTTTCCCCTAATGTGTAATAGCTAGTCAGTTGGTTTTGACTAGAACTTGTCATGACACCAGCAATTTACGGGAGGGAGGAATAGCAGACATGTCCTGCCCATTGCTGTAAAGAGCTAGAGGAAGGTCGAGAGTACACCTAGAAGCCAAACACCCCACCCCCCTCCCCGTGCAATCCTGGTGGCAATGACCTAAGTCCCCAGGCTGATGAGCCTTGTGGAGCTGAGCTTCCTCCTGCCGGGATGACCCACTTGCTAGCCCAACTGAAGTTGGTCAAAACAACCCAACCAACAAGAACCCTCCAAAGTTGAGGCTGGCTTGGCCGTGAACACGGACACAGTCTGGGGAGCATCAGATCTCCTCTCCCCCTTAACCTCACCCCCACAGATGGGCTGCGCCGCACGGGTCACTGTACCTGTGTCCACATCCTTCACCTGTTGCTTGGCTGCTGCAGTCCGAACAGTCCGCCGGCTCCTCCTTCATCTCCTGCAGCACCAGCGACTTCTCCTGCTCTCGGGTAAGCTCCATCCCGCCGCGCACCTCCTCCTCCTCCAGGGTCTCCACGTAGAAGACGGTCCTGGGCGACGGCCGCTGGCCCAGCCCATGCCTGGTGGCGGGCAGCAGGGTCCCGTTCAGCGGGCTGGAGGAAGATGATTTCTTCCAGAAGGCGCTGCTGCCCCTCTCCTGGTTCTTCAGCAGGCGGCTCTGGCTCGGCCCCCAGTGCTCGAAGCTGCCGTCCGGCTGCAAGCAGCCGCCCCCCACCGGCCCGGCCGGCGCCGACGGGTGGCTGAATAGTTTCCAGCGAAGGCGCAAGATGTGCTTCACGTCAAAGTCCTTCCTGCCCGAGCCTGACATGCTGCTGCTGCTTTGGGCAAGCGGGGAAGAGAGCGAGGGGATAAGAGCACCGCGCGGGAAGGGGGCTGCAGCCGGGGAGGCACGAGCGGCGCGACGCGCAGTCTGACACTGCAAAATGGCCCAGGCAGGAGGGCGCCCGCTGAGCTGCTACGCCCAGCTCCGCGCGCGCGCGGCGATGGCCCTCCGGCAGCTGCGGAAAGTCCCGGTTTAGCAACCCCAGCCTCTCCAAGCACAGCTGGGCATGCTGAGGGGCCCGGCCGAAAGCAGTGGCGCGGGGCGGGGGACACACACGCAGGGAGGACGGAGAATGGAGAGGCGCACCGAGCTGGAGAGCGATAAAGGAAAAGCGGGGGAGAGAGGCAGAGGCAGCTCTCAGGAAAGAGAGAGACTTGCAAAGGAGCGGGGATGAGGGAGGCTGCTCGAGAAGCACTAATCTGATTCACAGACACAAGCCGAGAGCGGGCTCAGTCGCCGCTGCCAGGGTATAACGCCGGGGGGCTCTTCCTCCGCCTCGCATTGCTCAGTGACAGGGTAGAAGGAGAGAATAAAGTCACCCACCCACCCTCAGTCTCTCAGGGGATTCCCCTGCTTGCAGTTATCTGGGCAAGCAAAGCCTGGGAGCTGGCGAAGGGAGCAAGCGGGTCTTCTTTTATATACATCACGAGGCGGGGGGACACCAGCTCCCCGCCTGTGAAGCTGTCAAGGTCCTCACTGTACAATTTTCCATCTGCCTCCTCAGCGCCTCCCTCCGAGCCGCCCCCTCCCCTGTAGGTGACGCAGATGTGCACTGGAGCCTTCAGAGAGGAGAGTCAGATGCATACTTCAATCTTCCTCAGGCAAGTAAGTCTGTAGGTCTAACTGTCGCCGTCCCCCCTCCAGCCCGTGCAGGTCTTTTGATTTTGGTGCTGAGACCGCTGCATGGCCCTGAGAGTAAAAGGATGTCAACAAATGCAGCAGCAGTAAACAAAAGAGCGTGAATCACAAGAGTGTGCAAACTTCATAGACTGTGATCAGGTTGCAGGTTAAGGACTAGCTGCCTTCATTAGCCTCCTGCCTTTGTGTTCTTGTAGTAGTAGAAAATACTAGATAGAGGGCCATCACACATCTAATTCTTACCCTTTGTCTCTGCCATTAATGCAGTCAGACAGTACGCCCAAGGGATGTTCAGTCACAGCAGAGAAATTTGCTTAGGGGTAGGTAAGCATTTGGGAGGGGTTTTGTAAAGGCCATTGTGCAAGTGGGACATAATCACAGAATGAAAGATTTTATGGTGACAAGGCAAGGAGAGGAATACAGTGGCAAAACTGTATTGGACGTCCTCACCTTCTAGCTCATAAATCATCATATGCATGATGGAAGGCTGTAGTAGGCAATACAATGACACACACAGCATTTGCAAATCACTTCCTTGTCTGAAATTAGTTGTTTGGAGGAGGAAAGAGAGCTTTTCTCATTAAAAAATTGATAATAAGCTCATGTTTTCCTCAGGATACTTCACTATTTTTACCTTGCTTTAGTGAGCCATCAAAAGAGTGTTACACCAAGCCCTTCATGAATGCAAGTGGAAGAAGATGAGAGATGATTTCCCTAACGCAATAAGAGACAGCTTGAATAATCGTTGAGAAGAGTACAGAAGTCAAACATTAGCAGTTCTATTACCGTTCTTTTATATCATTATTGAGCTAGTAAAATCTAGTTATAAGTCAATATTAGAGTTTGTATTCTAGCCTAGACAGTTATGTATTTTAATAGAACAAGAAATTCAGGACACAAAGCCCTACTTTCAATGGAAGAAAAATCACTACTGTGCATTTTAAATATTGATTTATGCAATGACAGCTGAACTGCAAAGTCCCCTGTGCATTGATTTTGCTCTCAGTATTCAGTGATAAAAAAATGATTTAAAAACTCTTTAAAGAGAACAGCAGAGACAGCTCATTTTTATCAAAAACTTAACTGTGTAAATGTGTCCCATTTGGAAGATTAGTGAAGGAAAGTGTAAACCAAAAACAGAGCAGAAAAAACGTTGTCACTTTAGAAACTTGAATGTCACACCTTATTGTGTCAAAACTATTTGTGAAGACACCAGTGTTAAATGTATGTTCCCCATATAGCCTCAACATGTGGTAACATGCCATAGAAGATTGAAATATAAATGTGCAGTTAGTTTCAGATATTTTTCTGTATTTAACCCTTTTTAAAAATATTCTCTAAAGTTTGAAAAAAATCACTCTTGAGCTGAGTAGGATTGTATGTCACCAAATATGTTACAAAGTTCAGTGACAGGAATTTGGCATCTGGTAATTAATATCTATTTGATTGTTGTGATGTAAACAGTTGATGTGTTTTAAAACATTACCTTCTCAACTCGACTGTAATATTTTTATATGGTTATTACTTTTGGATACCTCAATAAATATATTTAAGATAGCATATTTAAACAAAACTAGCCAAATTTTCAGATGTTATTCTAACTAGTGCTTACTATCTAACTAACTAAAGCATAACTCGACAAAAAAATTGATTTAGCGAACAAATTTTATCAGCGTTTGAACAAAATTATGTGAAAAATTCTAAAGAAATTTTTAAGCAAAGTGTATGCTCTCACTGACTTTGAACTCATGAAGTTCTTGCAATTTTTTCTTTCTTGTAACTAAATCATCAATATTTTGCTTACAGAATTGGATGGTAGCTTTAATGTTAGTTGAATCATCTGCTCATCAAGACACAAGTGTTGACTGCAAATCAGGATGTGTTGCCTTTTGTCTTGGTATCTAATAGCATATAGTTCACCATACAGATCAGTGTGTATTTCAAATATGAACACAGAGAAACACATGTTTACCATGTAGATGTGGAAATCCCCCACAGGCTTGCTACTTTGCTCCATATTCATCAATGTAAAAAATTATCTCTATCACTATGTAGTAAGCAAGAACAACAACAAAGAAGTAGCTCATGTCATAATACAGTACCGAGTGGATTTCTTAGCACAAAGTATAACAACTACCTTAGAAAAGTTTGCTTTACTTATGTTTTTGAGTTTTTGTTGTTGGTGCTTCTGCTGCACCAAAATTGTACCTTTAGAAACTGTCATGTGGGGTGGGGGGAGGACACATTGTACATCCTCATATGCCAAGATGACTACAAAATACATTTAAAATATATTTGTGTAGATGAAACTACTGGGCAGAAAATAACTTATAACAACTAGTTATTCTGTAGACTTAGTGTTGTAAGGAGGAAACCTACCAAAAAGTAAAAGGTGAGGAATATAGTTATGTTCTGTTCCAGAGACCTAGAGATATGATACCAGGGATGTATAATAGGAGTCTTCACATATTAATAAAGTCAGACATGTTTTACATTGACCATACATAGTTTTGCTAATGAACAAAAGAAGCAAGAAAAGACAGGGATGCCTGTTATTGAAGGAAAGCATCTTTTTGCCTAATACACCAGAGAAATTGTTCAAGAACAGTTCATCCTTGCAAAAACATGCACCATGAAAAGCTCACAAGGTCATTGTAAGCTTCACTTATCAGCCAGGTATTGTAAATGTTGGCTGTGCAAGTTTAACATGCATATGTTATGTTTTTCATTCATTAAACCACATCTGTACTTGATTATCCCAGTGCCATTAAATTCATCTTCTCTACCCTTTCTGCTTACACATAACCACATATGTTGGATGAGTATCCCAGGCCTCAAATACGCCTTGTTAATTCACACCATTTTAATTTAGTTTACATGGAAGTGGCACATAGCTAATTTTTTCATGCATATTGCATGAAAATATATGATAAAAGGGTCAAGACTTAGAGCTCTTTTGCATTCAGATTCATACTATCTTCTATTTTCTGTCTTTCTATCCAAGTGTTGTGCTGGTGAATTAAATCAGCATGACAGGGTCCCTCATGGAATCTTGTGCATGTGTTCGTTCCGTGTTTATAGAAACTCTACCTAGGTAGATGTATTCTTTTCATAGCTCATTCCTCTTATGGTGGGAAGGTATTATCAGAGAGGGTTATACTGGATTGACTTCATCTCTTCTGGGAGTTCATTCCACTATAAACGCCCTTGACTGTGTCTGTGAATTATTTATTTCTAGGTTTGATGTGCTTCATCTTGGGCTTTACCAGTTGTATTGTCCTAGATGAGTGCATCTGTTATGGTAGGTCATGAACCAAGGCTGTAAACGGCAACTGAAGCAGACTGTGAACCAGTGGAGGGATCGTAGCACAGGGCGATGTGTTCACGATAGAACATCTCACTGAGCATATGTGCAGTTATATTGTGTATGAGTCTCTGCATTGCAGTCACATTCAATCTCAGATATAGTGAGTTGCAGCTATTTGTTCTGGAGGTGTTGAACACGTGGATCACTGTGGCTAGATCCTTATCGGGGAGGAAGAGGTGATGTTTCCTAGCAAGCTGCAGATGGAAGATATTTTTTAGCCACTGATATCACATGATATTGGAGTCTTAGTTTTGAATCTAGCAGTACTCCATGGCTTCCTGTTATTTTGATAAACAGCAGCCAGAGGCCTTTGAAGGTGGAGTGGAAAGGGGACATTGTGTTGGCTACAATAGAGCAGGCTAGATTAAATGGCACCCAAAGAAATCTCTGCCAGGGAGGTTATATCAGGTACCTCATCCAAAATGAAATCATGAAGAATGTTGATTTTGTTGATGGCTGACCTTGCATTCAACAGCAAGAAAGTGAGGCGGTGTAATGGGGTTGGCATCTGCCTCTCGTGTGTGCCCCCTTTTCCCTTGCCGATAGTGCCTGCAAACACAGTCTTTTCATGGGGTAGGGGGAGTACCCACCTCTCATGGATGGCCCCTTTCTCTCACTTAGATGTGAGCCCGCTTTTCTTTTTTGGTCTTATATCAGGGTGGTGCCTGCCTCTCGCAAGCACCCCCCAGCCGCTGGTTCTCTCGGCTGCTCTTCGGCAGTTCAGCCCTCCGGCCGAGCTGCACATGCTGTCTCCCCTTCCAGGGTATACAGTCCAAGTTCTTTCTTGGACCTGGTATGGGGCTGTAGCTCGAAGGCTTTTTCTCCAATGCACTGCCTTCTTCAACCACCCAGCTGGGATCCATCTTGGTATCCTCAGCTATTGTCCTTTTCAGCAGTCCTCCCTGGGCTCAGTCTGCTACCAGACCAGCCTGGCCCATCTCAGTACCCTCGCCTGGTCTGGTCCTGGGCTCAGTCCCCTGGTCTCAGCCTGCCCACACTGACCTTTTCATGGCCCTGCTGCTACTCTATCCAGCCAGCCAGGCATCTGGTCTTTGGCAGCCTTCCCTGGGCTCAGTTCCGCCTGATGAGCTTTCTGCGGTGAACTGCCCATGGCCTGCTGCTCATTTAGCCAGCCAGGCACCCAGTCCTCCCTCGTCAAGCTCCACACAGCAACTGCAGGCTCTGCTCTGTTGCTTGCCTTTTATCTGGCCTTTCTGGCCCCTTACTGGTCGCTCCAGCAACCCCTCTGATTGGCCGCCCTTCTGCAGCCACTGTAGGCTGCCCAGAGGCCTTCTCGTTGCTCTGTTCTGGGACAGGGTGTGATACGGCCGCAAGGCCTCCAGCAGGGGCCTCCAGACCTAGTCCACCCTGCCACAGGCTGTTATCAATGAGCCAGCTGAATCATATATAGAAAAGCATGTTACCGGAGACTATAGAATGAGAAATTGGTGGGACTAGACAAGCCATAAGACTACTTGAAAAGTCATAAATTGCTGAGTAAATACCGTTGTAGTATGTGGCGAAGGAATATACCTTACATTAAAGACATCTGTCTTTCAAACTTTCTAATTGTGCTCAAACATCTATAAACAGTAAAGTAATTTGTGCTACATGTAGATGTACATGGTTTAATAGATTATTGAAAACTGCGTAACTCTTCTTGGTGGAAAATAAAGTGACTGATAATACTGGGAATAAAAAATTTCAAAGACGTGGTATCAGATTACTCATAAATATTTTATGTTTGATATATTAATGTAATTAATCTTAGGGTACAATATAGAGGCATACAGCTAATGATCTTCCAAATAGATCTTGGGGTGGATGCAGTGCCAAAGAGTGGCCACAACTTGTTCCATAACAGGCAGCCTATAGGGGACCAGCAGCACTCCACAAGAAGTGGCTGGCTTAGGCCACATAGGGAATATAGCCAATGTAAGCACTGATTCAGCATAACCCATGTGAAGCATCCACCGGAGACTCCTCTGGAACTGCTGAACAATTATAAAATTGCCCTTTATAAGCAGACACTTTGGAGGGCAATTTGGAATGTGGCAACGGGAACATAGGCAAGTCATGGAATATGGGGGCAAGAAGTTGTGTGGTGGAGATAAGAGAGAAACCAGTTCAATTTTTTTGCTTGGAGCACATCCACAATTCATTACATTCCTGGGAATTCTGTTCTGACGGGTTTATATGAATGTGTTCTGTTAAGAAAGTGGTATTTTTGTTACCTCTGCATTCCTCAATGGATGAAGTGGAGCTCTTGGATTGTTTTGTTTTGTTTTGTTTTGTGTTGTCATAAGATTTGTAAATATTCTAATTGTACATCCCCTACCTACAGTGATGTACAGACACATTATTTTAAATATATATATATAGAGAGAGAGAGAGAGAGAGAGAGATACTGAATTATTTAACTTTTTTGAATCTAGTCTGGATATACATATTTTTTAAATTTATGGATGACAAGCTTTGTAAAGTGTTCCCTGACACAATATGTGAAGGACACTATATAAAATTAAATTGTGTTATGGGCTACTTCATTTTGAGGGACAGTTAAATGCATATCAGTTTGTTGCTCCTTTACCTTAGACCGTAGTCCATTCCATGCTTTGCTGCACATTGGGCTACCCATATTTGCCATTCTTGCCTGTCAAATGCCCTTCTCTCCAAATCTTCCCATTTCTTGTTGAGGTGATTGACATCATTCAGAACTGTTCATTTCCATGTTATTCGTGGTCTTCCTCTCTTTCTTCTTGCGTTTTCTGGCTTTCATTCAAGGGCGGTATTTGATAAGCATTCTTTTTGAATTCTCAGCACATGTCCAAGCCACTGATGTCTTCTTTTGTAGATTATTTGTGAGAAGGTACCTTGTCCAGTAATTTTTCTGACTTCTTCATTCATCTTCCTATCTCTATATGTTATTCCCAATATTCTTCTCAGATATTTGTGATGAAATGCATCCAGCTTTTGCATATCTTTCTTGGTAAGTTGCCACGTCTCACTGCTATATGTTGTGATGGTGACAACAGTTGCTTTGTACATATTCAATTTTGTCTTGAGAGAGATGTTTTTAAGTTGCCAGATATTTTTGAGTCTTCCAAATACACCGTTTGCCTTCCCGATTCTTATTATTATTTCCTCGGAACTAGTACCATCTTCGCTGATCGTACTTCTAGGATACGTAAAATTGTCCACCTTCTCCAGTTTCTCATCTTCAATTTTGATTTCTGTCCCTACAGTCCCCATTAACATGACTTTACATTGCTTTGCATTGTGTCTCAAACCTATCTTCTCCATTACTTGTTTTACATGGTTTGTGCATTTTTGTAATCCATTGGCATCTTCACTGATAAGAGCGATGTGGTCAGCTCCTTTAGGTTAGGTGAAATAAAGTTCAGAGAGCTTGTAATAACAAATCTTCAGTCTTAAAATGCAATTATTTTCTTTGTACTATGTATTTTGCAGTTTTATGAAAAATAATATGAAGAGCAAAGTGCAAACAGCAAGCCTTTTGTTAGCAGTCTATGTGCTTCTAAATGCTCTTTTTCTTCTGCAATTTACTGTTATATTAAAATATGTTAAAACATAGAGCAAGTAGCATCAAATAACTTCTAATCAACTGCTAGAAAAACATGGGCTTTTATTTCCCCTTACTGTTGCAAAGTAAGAACAAGATTGATATAATGAAATTCTGTAAAGTTAAAATGAATGGGATGAATCCAGGTTGTGCCCTGAATATTAGACACACAAAAATGATTAGGAGAAGGAAATAAGTTTTGCACATCTCTTAAATGCCTGACCACTTAGCAGGATGGGGTGTTGAATTGGCCAGATGAAGATAAAGCTTTCTTCACTTTCTTTTTTTCCTCCTCCTCACATTTCCTTTTGGGTACAGGGTCCTTAGGGCTTCAGGTTTTGGCCATATTGCATCCACTAGGAAGGGGGACATACAGCTAATGATAAGCACCTGCTGCATTCACTCCAAAGGTAAAGGAGTGATAGGAAGGAATGCAGCAGGTGCTTATCATTAGCTGCATGTCCCCCTTCCTAGTGAAGGTGTATTTCCCGCCCCTTGCATGAGGCACTATTGAGCAACAGAAATCTACCCCATTGCATGTAACTTGTTTTTTTTTTTAAGTTGGCGCTTGAATTCTGGGCTATGGAGGGCTGTAAATAATAGCTCTTTGACAATAGGAAGATACTTTTTCCTCAAGAGAAAATTGTCCAGAATTTCATGGGTTTGTTTTGTTTTTCCACTTCCTTTCATCAGCTAAAAAGTGTTGGTTGTGGTTGTTTGGTTGGTTTTCTATTGTTTGTTTGTTTTGTCGTAGTTTTGTACCTGATTAGGGTATGTATGTCCAACTAGCAACACACTAGCCAATTTAGGAAGACTGCTTGGAACTCATAGACTCATAGACTTTAAGGTCAGAAGGGATCATTATGATCATCTAGTCTGACCTCCTGCACAACGCAGGCCACAGAATCTCACCGACCCACTCCTGTAACAAACCGCTAACCTATGCCTGAGTTATTGAAGTCCTCAAATTGTGGTTTAACGACCTCAAGGTGCAGAAAATCCTCCAGCAAGTGACCCATGCCCCACGCTGCAGAGGAAGGCAAAAAACCTCCAGGGCCTCTGCCAATCTGCCCTGGAGGAAAATTCCTTCCCCACCCCAAATATGGCGATCAGTTAAACCCTAAGCATGTGGGCAAGA